AAAGTGCTATATAAATAAACAATGATGATGATATGTCGGTACCCATCCCTACCTATAAACAGCTGCTCGTGGTTTAGCCAGGATGAATATATGTGTAATCTGCTGACAATAAGAAATTTCACCAATAAACAAGCATGTTTATTCCCGTTGTTTGACAATTTAAAAAATATGCGGGTGGGTGGCGTCTCTTTCCTTCACGCTTTTGTTTCTTTGGTGAAGGGAACTCCACAGATATGATGCTTCATCGCTCGAGTCTGAAGGTGCGTACGTGAATTTACATCCATGGCACACAAACGCCGGAGACTTTTATGCATGTGGCCATCCTCTAACCACATATGGAAAACACGATTATTCAGAAGGGAGACGTCTTTCCCAACCATTGTATTCAAATACTGTGAGGGAACATGGCAGCTTCCACAAACCACGAATCCACCATTATGCATTTTTAATACATTAATTGACAGTTTATGAGAATGCATCAGTTTATTGGAAGACATAATTACACACTAATCCATGTATATTTATGAGTACAGTGTCCTTTCTATCTCTGCTAAATAAACCCAGTAAATTACCGACTGCACTTTTAAAACACTAGCATTCATTTATTTCAGACATTTTTGAACAAGCTGCAAACTTATGAAGACTTTGTGTGCTTTTACAGTCACTGCTGCATCAACAGAAGAGCCACTTACCCGCAGGAAGTCCCGGTACACGTAGTAGTACAGCCAGTCATGGACAACTACATTCCAAGTGCGATAGTAATTGGCAAAAGAGGTCGAATTCCACCAATCCTGTAACGTGTAGTCAAAATCAAACACTGAGCACAAAGAAGATTTAGTCCAGATTTTAAAACGAGGGTAAAACAAGTACCTTGTAAAACATTCTGTCGGCAAATCGAAGCATCTCAGCAAAAGCATTGAGCCAACAGTGGAGGAAGGCAAAGAATCCCAGGAAGAGGACCAGCACCCCTGCCAAAAACACACGACTGGTCAACAAACAGGAGTAATACATCTCTCGCCTTTAAATATGAGAAAAGATAAAATAAAAAATAAAACATGAGGTTTTCACAAAAGTTTGTTTCTAATCTTACCTGGTAAGATGGAGTTAAAGACACAGAGAACCATGGCTCGCAGATCAAACAGCTGCAGACTGATGCTGCGAAACTGAGGTATGCACAGCCGCACAAACACGTAATAGGCATAAAACAGACAGCCAAGTACCTGTGGAGTGGGAGTGGTCAAGAAAGTAAATGTAATTTAAAAGTAATGAGCTGCTTGGACATTTAAGTAAAGTTGCTAGAAATGTGTCAGAGGTAGGTACCTGAAGTAATTTTGAGACCACGTAGCCCCACCGAATCACCGGATTCCTGTAGAGGGCAAGAAAGGAAAGGAGCTGTTACAGCTCTACTGTAAAACAAAACAAAAAAGTGCTCTATATATACAAAACACAGTACCTGGGGTACTTGTCTCTGTAGATGAGCGTGGGTGCAAACAGGAAGTAGAGATACTGAGAAACCTGAGGGACCACTGGACCAGGGCCTGCAGATGACAGTGAAAATATATGAACACAAACAATGAGAAAAAAGCCATCAGGGGGAAAAGTGAGCACACTGTCTGATAATAAATGTAAATGGAAACCTGGTTGTATTCAAAAAGTACCATTTTTTTCTTTACACCATGCGAGGACTCGTGGTACATTCTCCCTGACAAATGAGTGAGCTTTCATCATTAGACGTACCTGAAATAGATACAAATAAAATAGATACAAATCAAAGAAGCTACATTTCAAAGGGCAGCCTTATGCACGTCAAGATATATGCAAAGACTCTTCACAAATGTAAACTAAGCCATTCTGATCAGAAGAGAACAGGCTAGACTCTTCATCTACCTGTTCCAGGATGATGATGAAGCAGGACGCAGGCGGGAAACTGTTGGTCACCACCGTATAGGTGGGCAGAAATCCTAGACCCAGAGCTTGGTAGAGCAGGAATAAAGTGCCAAACAGCAAAGAATACAACCTGAGATGGCTGTGGGAGCCGGAGTGGCTCTGTGCCCACAGGTAGAACAGGGTGTAGGGAATAAACAGCACAGACAAAAACATGCAGATCCACGTGCACACCACCAGAGGGAACTGCCCAAAGGCATAGACCAGCAGATCAAACTCCAACACCAGTCTGAGGCCGAAGGAGAGAAAGCAATCATCAGTAGTCTATCAACAAAAGCAACAGAAATAAACAGTCAAATAACACAAAATCAAAAGAGAAACGATTCACAGCAGGTTTATATTACCTGCCTTCATCAATGAAATCTACCACAAGTGTACTGAGGATAAAAAGAATGAGCAGGGCAATGAACATGTGGTAGATGGTCCTGATGTGGTTCACCTCAAACAGCTCACTGTGAGGAAAAACAAAAGACTAAGTGAGTCAACAAACCATCTTTCAACAGCAGCGTAGCAAACACGAGTGATAAAGCATCCAGACTGCATCAACTTACTCTAGGAGGGATCTGCGGCTTACAAACAGCTTTCCCTCACCGTGAGGAGGACGAAAGTGCCTGCAGAAAAACACAGTGATGAGCTGTCGTCGTTTTAACACGAGAGTGGGAAGTAGAAGGGCATTAGCGTCTGCTGTAACCAAACGCCAGATGCAGCCTTTCACTTGGTAGCATAGTAAGCTGCAGTACCTGAGTTTGCTCCGCTCCTTGTCTGACATTGGAGGTGAAAATACAGCAGGTACCGGTGCAGGCTCCAGGCTGGTCGACTCCTCAATAAGACTGTCCATAAAATCATTGACCTGCATGTCAAACTGACGCAGCAGGTCACTCTTCAAGTACTGGGCAACAGAAAAGGACGCGGAAATTGTTATTAAGTTACAAAATATAGAAAGTCTGTGCCAATAATTATTTTCTTTCTGTATATGCAAAATTAGTTTCTCACCTTACAGCTACTTTTAACGACTGATTTTACATATTATAAATATGCCCTCGCCAAGAGTGGATTTACTGCACCGCTGACTGCCTCTTAAATTCAAATCCAAGTTTGTGCACAAAAGCAACAGGTCTGCGTGATCATTATGACACATTCAGTGCCGTTTATCGCTGCATTTTAAACACACAGCAAGTGTGAAAAACAGAGACATAGCTCGCAGTGTTGTCCAGCGTCCAAGTGTGCGATGTTCTTATTCAACCTTTAAGAGGTCTGAATTGATCAGAATATTTGCTCAAGCATTTCAGGAGGGGATCAGATGATGTTGATCATTCTAGCAAGGATTCACATTTACATGGTTTAAATGATGAATGTAACAGAAGACATCAAATAAATAACCGCAGGGACGTCCTGGCCCAGGCTAATGACCAGAAATACATCAGCTGGAAGAAATCCATGATTGCTCACATTTCCTTAGTACACTTTTAAGTAAGCAATTTTAAAAAAGAAGCCCCGCCCCCCCAAAAAAGACATGATGTTGAGTCATTTCTTAAAGAAACTACTAACCTCTGCTTTCTTTTTCAGTTGTAGTTTTTTGCTGATGACGTGTTCCACTTCAATCCTCCCTGAAATTGAATGAGACACACATATGTTAAAAAAAACAAAACATATGTATGTGTAATCTTCTTATATTAAAATGTACTTCTGTTTTTTGGGCACAGCAATTAGCAATAGTGTCAATTAAATCAATCATGTCATCTGTACAAAACTTTATTATCAGACATCAGTAATAATATCGGGATTTTGACACTGAAAATGGCAGTAAAATAAATAAAATGGTATAATGTGGGTTTGGTTACTGTGTTGTAAAATGCTACAGTCTGTGACACAGCAGAAGTTACATTATACAAGTCTTCAGTCTCCAATCCAAAGTTGCAAAATCCAAAGGGAGACACACCTATGACAACATGCAACAAGTACAATCACATGTCCTGTGGCCGGAAAGCTAAGCAAATGCAATTAAATGTGGTCAAGGTTACTGTAGGTCATTAGGCTTTACAGCTGTCTGATGATGAATAGGCTTGTTTACTTTAACTGAGGTCAGGCACACAAATGACTTTAAGCACAGTAACTTTCCACCCATCACGCAAGAAAAAGTCAACAATATAGCTGACGTTGACACAAAGACGTGCATTGTATTATCATGCTTTGTGTTTAGCTCTTTTGTAGAAGCATACAAAGAACTAATATAGTCCCCAGGTAAGGTGTCAGACCAGTATTTCATTTCTCACCTTTACTGGCTAACTTGGGCGTCATTTGCCCGGGTTAACCAGAGATCACGATGATTGCTTAAGAGGAACTAATCACACATGAAACTTTCAGTTAGTCATACTTTTGACCCAAGACGGGAAATTTACTGAAACGATGATTTCTGAGCTGTTGAGTCAACAGATTCACTGTATCAGAGGTCACTGGCCTCTCGGCTGGCCCCACTAATGAGGGAGTTGAGATTTTCTCACCATTGCTGGTGATGTGGTTGTCTTCACTGCTTTGCTGTCCTTTCCCCGGACTGAGCTCCCCATCCAAAGAGCTTTTCAAGTCAGGGAAGGTAGGCATCGTGGGGATGGCTCGGCTGCGGAGCCGGAGAATAGCGTCATCCTCGCTGTCCATCCTACGGAAGCAAATAGGTTAATCATTAAAACAAGGGAAATAACCTCTTGAACAAACGAGACATGCCCCGAGAACACACAAGGAAGACAAGCTAGCACATCACTGCTGTGCCACCTAACATCGATGGGAATGCTGATTGACTGACAATACAAACCCAGTGGGCAAACACATCACTCTCACATGACACGGACACGCAGCTAACACACGAGTTAGCTCCCGTCCAGCTGGCATCAAGCCTCAATGAGACAGGCAGCGGCTAATTCACGGAGCTCGCAGAACTAAATCGCTACCTGGGTTAATATCATATCCCGCTAGCACAAACTCTGATACTAAATCTGCCTGTTGACGCTCGCGGATATTGCTAGCATACAATACAAGCTTTACTAAAGCTAGTCAAACTAGCCAACTTGATGTTTTATCGTCCGCTACTGCGGGACGGGTTGACCGACACTGACAGAAATGTAAAAATGCGGGCAGCACAATTTCCTGAATACCTCCTCGTTTCAACCGCCAGGTCCTCTCTTCTCAAGCCTCTCTCTCCGACGTTAATGAGAGCGAACCCAGATGTGAAACTCCTTTAATCACCACAGTCCGAGCCGCTGCTCACCTTCCCCATTCTATAAACACTACAGAAGATGAGCAGCACCCACGATTCTGATTGGTCGAAAGTCTCTCCTCCTTTTGACGTCACCGACGCTAAACAGCTGACCGGCGCGGTCAGACTCTCAAACGTCACCTGCTTCGTAAGAAATATTATTAAAAAACAAACAAACAAACAAAACGGATATTTTTTTTTAATGATTAACAAATGCATAAAACATGAATGGAGCGATGTATTCCTGCTGCAAGCTGAAATAATTTGTCTCACAGTTTAATTAGATTCAAAATAAAAATCTTATTATAATAGATTATAATGTATGTCTTTTCTCTAACTCCTCTTACACACGTTAATCATTCTGTAACCAGTGTTGTGCTACACTGTAAAGCAGCGGTCCCCAACCCCCCGGGCCACGGACCGGTACCGTAAGAAATATTATTAAACAAACAAACAAACAAACCGGTACCGGTCCGTGAGTCGTTTGGTACCGGGCCACGAGAGTGAGACTCGGGTGTGAAATATATGGTTTTCCGGGTTTTTAGCTTATTTTGTTATCGTTTTTTTCGTTAACTCGGTTTTCCTGGGTCTTTTCACGTGTGTTATGAATACGTTTTCTTTTTTTCGGTACCGGTACTAGTTTTATTTTGTTGTATTTATCCGTGACTCCTTAAAGGCCGGTCCGTGAAAATATCGTCGGTCAACAAACCGGTCCGTGGTGCAAAAAAGGTTGGGGACCGCTGCTGTAAAGTACATAAATACACAGCAAGTATTACCGATACTTTTAGCCTATAAAGACAGTTTATGTAGGGGAGAACATGTCATGAATTATGAGATGAATGTCATTAATATGGGGAATGTTTGAGGTATATTTTTATATATAAAAAAAACCAAAAAAACAATTCATTTACCACAATTTAGTGTGCTACATCCTAAACTTAAAGGATAGAAACAAAGTATTGGTCCTAATGCACTAGTATCGGTATGCCAGCGCTGGTATCCTGGTAAATTGACTGATTCTTATTTAGCGTTTTTCTGTTCTCGTGGAGCACTCAGAGGGCTTTATATAACATGCCATTCACCCATTCATATCTTCGATGCTTCAAAGCTAACATTCACACACATTTAGTATCTTGCCCAAGGATACTAAATGTGTGGCATGCTGGGGGAGCCAGGGATTGAACCACTAACCTTCCAATCAGTAGATAATATTTGGATCCACCCACCTGTAGACAAAACTCATTATATGTATCATATATATAAACTGCCCAGGGTAGCAGGATTATAAAATTAATTTCTTTTTCTAACACTCAAATCCTTAAATAAATTATGTGTGGTGGCTGATCTCGAAACAAACGGCGACATTACCTGTACGTTGTTGTCTGTAAATACATTTAGCAGCTACTTTTAGTGCAGTGACATTCCCGGGGTCACTGGGGTGTGCTGTCATGCATAGCTGTAAATAAGTGTTCATTAAAACAGTGAGGATAATTGTAGGTAAACTGACTGTATTGTCTTAAACAACGAATATGTAGCTTGCAAAGAAGAAGAAGAAATATATGTATTTGTTATTTATTTCTTTGGTGTTTCTGAACAGCTGTTCTTGCCGCCTGGCTGTATAGATCTGCGGTGGTTTAATGAACATGAAAAGAACTTAACTAACTTAATAGACATGTTATTGTTTTTTTTGTTTTTTACATTTTAAAGTCAGCAAGTACAACAAGCCTTCAATGATGCCATCCATAAAATGACTTAAAAAATATATACTTCAGCCTTTGAAGGTGACCATATCCTAACACACTAGAGGTGTGGCAGTCTTTGTGTGGGACAATGCAGGTTAAAGCTCTGGCATTGATCATTTGAAAGTCAAATATACTGTGTTGTATTTCAGTGCAGTTTTCCTAACTTCTAAATACACTAACAAATGAAGAGAAATTATAAGCTATTTTATAATTTTATAATAAATTATAAGTTTGTTTTTATTGTAATCTGTACACTAATCTATTCCCTTTGTCCTTCCCTTCCCTTTGCCAACAAGCCAAACCTGCAGCTGTCTGGTAATCACCAGGTTTCAATAGTGAAAAAACAATTCTGTGAACTAAAATAAAATATGAATACAGAGGAAACAACTGTAGTTTTAGTATTTATCAATTTGGTAAGTGTTGCCTGATGAGGTTTTTGATGGATGTGTTAACTGAGACTTTGGATGTCTACAGGACTGTGAATCACCTGCTTTCAAAAAGTTCTGTTTTTATTTTAATAGCAACTGATTTTCCTAAATTTGGCCTCTAATATTTGCTCTAAATACCGTAATACAAAAAAATATTATTAGTAATTCTAAAAGTCTTAAAACGTAAACGAAACATTTTCAAACAATAAACAATACAATGAAACAAGAAAACCTATGTTTGTTGAATTAAAAAGAAATTGTCAAAACAAAATAAAAATAAAAACTAATCAAAAAACAAAAACTATACAAATTCTGACAGTGGATAAGAATGCTGAGCAGTCTAACATAAAGTGAGATGTCTGGTCACTCATCCACTTTTCAAGTCATGTTTGTTGGTATTTTGCTTTAATGGTTCTTACTTCTCTCCAGAAATACATTACAAAATATCCACACAGTAAATCCACCACACCTTTCGTTATGTACCATGAATCAAAACATATTTCTAGGAAGAATATGTTTACAATCAGACAGAAGCATGGTTTATCAGTATGTTATTTTTTACTATTTTTATGCTACATGTTTTTCTTTTTATCTCACTCCGCATCTTTACACTAAGTTCACAAGCCTAAACAAGCAAAGATATGCTAAGTTAAAAAGACATTTCATGGGAAACATTCACAAGATTTTGTTTTGTAAATAACTGCCCCATTCATTTAAAAGACAGTTTTGGAGCCTGTGTGCAAGTTAAACACGTTTTTGATGGAGCGCCTCTAAGTAGAGCGTGACATGCTGTCAAACCTTCATGGTCTCATGAGCCTACTGTGGCAAAACGGTTCATTTCAAAGAGACAACAAGACATTCACTGTATCAGGCATCATACGGATGGTGCATATAACCATGGATCTTCCTGTGGTCTGTGATTAAGTCAGTCCAAAGGCTCAAGAGTGAATTAGGACACTGAGAATGGAAGAATTTCCCAACAGGCTTGTTATAAAAGACATGTTGTGTCTCTCTATGGTGAACCCAGCCAGAGTCAGCTGCCATACTCCAGCCACTCTTTCTTCTCCCAAGAATATTAAAGTTTGTAGACATCACTGCACTCGGATGGTTGAGAAGATGCAAACCTGTTCACAAACCAGTGCTTCCACCATACTGGGAACGTAGGAATGTGGCACTAGGCCTAGCAAACATCAACACAATTACTTAGTTTTTACTTTGTAACTATTTGAAGATGACCCCTTACTGTGTGATGTGCGCAGGCTCAGTACAAACAAAACACAGGGCTCTGTTTCATTCAGAGCCATCGTGTTATTTTGATAGTGCGGGACGACATCCTGAGTTGAGGACAAAGTAAAAAACGAAGACTTTTAGTGTAAATACAAAGTTATAAGTCAAACTGAACTGAACATTTGATGCTACTGTCATGAAATCAATATCCTTAGTATCCTTATTTTCCTATTATATTGTTTTATGTACTTTAATAAAGGCTTGTAGAGCAAGGCCACTTTTAACTCACAAACTAAGTGAAAAACAGGAAGTTTTAGTGCACAGCCATATTAATAGATAAGACACTGAAATAAGGAACTTGCCATATAAGCAATGTTTGAGAATGTGGGACGTGTAAAGTACCAAAATAAAACCTATATGAAGCACAGTTTATGATTCTAATGTTAGAGCTCTTGCAACTGGCGTTTGAGCTGTGCAGAGGTCTCTCTCTTCCGGAAGATGAATGAATAAAAGAAATATCAATATTTTAACACACTATGAGTCGGTTTTCTCTGTTATCATGGGGACAAAAGAATCGGGGTTTAATATTTGGTGTTTCCGCCCGGTTCGTCATGCAACAGAGAGAACAAATGTGGCCGAAGGTTGGATCTGATATGAGGCGAACAGGAGACCGGTCTAAAATGATTTAAAGGTAGGCACAAACATGTTCAATAAGCAAATTTGTGCAAATTGGCTGAATTCTAAATTATCTGTTCGCTGAGTGATGATCTTAACTATTAAATTGGCTCAGTAGTGGTAAAACTGAATTGTTGAGAATAAAGTAAAACTTTGAAGTAATGAGAAGCTTTGAAGTAAGGATAATGAAACGGTGAGAAGAGACAGTACTGAGATAAAAGTAACATGAGATGTTATGATAAAAGAGAAAAGAGACCAATGTGTGTTTAGGAAAACACAGGATCATAGTTTATGAGTCAGTTTATGGTTTAATAAGTGTCAAGTTCAGGAGTGCAGAATCGGGGTTTAATACTACATTTTCATAACAAAAATGTTTCATATGTCAAAAATCTAACAATTTTACAACTGAATAAATATACAGCAAAATACAAACTGAGCAGTATTATTTTATTATTCATTTAAAATATACATATTTTATATTATTCCAGCTTTCTGGATGATAGGAAGCTGGAATAATAGCCTTTTTTTACACCTTGGCTCATGTGGTGACTCATATGATCAGTATTGGGTTAGCAACCTTCAGGACTTACTCCACACAGGACACCCACCACTGGGGTTTATTTCCTGGGAGTCTCCACCAGTTGCTTTAAGAACCAAAGAAGTGTCTTGGATGTGATGTGCAACGTCTTCACAATCCTAAAGACGTCCAGCTGCCTTCTTTCTTGAGCTCTTGAGACTTTCATCGCGCGCAGACACACCGGTCACAAGAAGCAGACGGGTCCCAATGCCACAGAGATCTCGGAGACGAGCTTGGAGACACTGATCGTCTCTACACCCAGATGTCGGACAGGAAGTAATTCCGTATCTCCTTGAACCCTGACAAACAGCTCCAGCTGGAGAAGCAGCAGACAAAAAGCAAACACAAGGAGATGTGTTCAGTTTGTTCTTCCTGGATTCATAACTAATTCCAGAGACTAGACCCTTGTGCATGCATGTGCATGTGCTGTATGGTATCTCTGAGCAATCTCAAGTCTAATATTGTTTTATTAAATCTCCTTTATTCCCATAACTATAAAACATGTGCAATTTACCTTGTAAGGCTATCGTACAAAAGCTGAAATTAAAAAGTTCTCATAGATCAGACAGTGTTTGATTTATTTGCACCGACACATGACTTATTTATCTTTTGGAGACTCGTGTTTCCTTTCATAACTTTCCATCACAATAAAAGGACTCTGATCTGACACAAATGTGATGCATGGTTCCTGAAAGTAATCGATTCCACTTCTTTTTCTCTTATGTACAACAATGTAAAACGAATGTGTTGTTTGTATTACAGTCACAGTTATAGAAAGCTGCTGGCAACGCCCCCAAAAACCTGTCACAAATCTTTTCGTCTTACCTCAGAGTGTTTCCTGGACACTGTGACAAAGTGTGAATCGATTTCTTTGCCAGAGTCTCCCAGTAAGTGGATAATCTGACTGTCTGAATCATCTGTGGCAGCAGCACTCGTTTGGTTTTCTGTACAGCTGAGAGTGATGTGCTGGAAAGATGAGTGGCTGTGTAACCGCAGAAACTTCAGCTGGACAGCATCCACACCAGGGTAATCAAACTATCAGAAAGAGCATTAATGTTAGAAATAATAGTTTCCTTAATCCAGCCACATATTATTTAATACTTACTTTTTGGTGGTGAGTAAACCTCTCCACATATGTCCTCATCATTTCTGGGTCCCTCCATATTTTAATCTAAACATATTTTTGAAGCCATTCATAAAAACACAAGATTTTTGTAGTAGCATTAGTCAGAGAAGTAAAAGAAACACACACACACACACACAGGTTACGTTTTCCTTCAATAATCTGACATAAACGCAGCACAAACTATCTACAAACATTCTCAAGTTCCATGTTTTGTAGCTGATATTGTGTGATAAAGATGACAAGTTAGTTCTTCGATGACGTTAAGCTTCACAGGTGAAAATGACTGAACCTGCGAGTAAAGAGGCTCTATGCAGGTTGCTCCACCTCCTGTGAAGTTACAGAAGACCTTCAAGGCATCACAGGGGCAGCCTTGGTTCGGGTCCATGTAAAAGTAACCTGAAAAAAAGTTGAATGGAA